TGAGCCTCATTTTCAGAACTACCTAAGTATGACCTCAGTTGTTCATGGAATCTACTTTCGGCTTTCTCGTTACTTAGTTTAATTCTAATGACTCATCTTAGTGCGGCTTTCCTGCGTCCAATGAGGAGCAAGCAAACGCTTGCGCGTACTAAAGCATGGTCGGAATCCAAACAGGTATTCCAGAACTAACGACAATCTTCTATCGAGCCTCTTCAACAATGAATGATGGCAATATGGTCTATTTGAGTCCATCGTTGGTTTGGTGCAGGTGGTCGCCATGTTAGACGATGTCTCTCTCTCTGTGCTTAAAATTAGTGTTTGCTAAAAACAAACGATTGTCTGAGCACAGTTGCAATAGACGATCACCATTATCTGTTCGTTGTGCCGGAATACTAAAATACCCACTTGAATGTCTTTCTGTTCGGTTTAAGCTACCTTCCTAGGCATTAAAGTCACCTGCTACGAGTACTATGTGTGAGCGTTTAGTTGTATGAAGAAGTTCAGGAGGCTTTATGTAAAAGTCATCTTTCATTTGACCTGGGCTGCAGTTAGTGGGAGTGAATTCTTACAGAGCCGTTTAGACGAACAGCACATAGACGACTGTTAACGGGGATCCACTCTAATAGTGCTTGTTCTGCCCTCGTACTTAGTGCTACGCCTAACCTGCCAGTCCAAAAGAACTACCTATCGGGTCTCCAGACACGCGGAGGGTTTATCTCGTAGGCTCTCCGTTTTGGTGAAGTGAGGTCAAGTGAATAACCACACTAGGATCTTGTATACGTGTTTCGGAGACATATCATACACCAATGGTACAAGATTCTAGGGTTTTAGCCAAGGAGGCCTGTGGCCGACTTGATACACAGTGCATACGTTGACCAGTCAACAGTACGACTTTGTCCTCAGACCTTGGGTTTGTTGGTTTTAGTCTTACCGCTCGTTAACCGACCTGTCTGGCATAGTAGGACCTTGAGGAACGGTTGTTTCGTCACAATAGACAAGCTCGACCACCACGTCAGTGTAGCAACAACGGTCGGGGGAGGAAAGATTGACTTCAGAGAGGTCTGTCCGAAATAATAGCTCATGAAACAAAGTTTCTGCTGTCCCCCATCCTCCAAATGGTAACCAGCAGGAAGCGCCTGAAAAAACCTAGTCACATGACTAGATCTGTTTCTAGCAGAAAAATAACCTGACCGCCCAAGTCGTCGATATTCTCCTTGAATCCCAATGTATGTTTGACGCGACTGTGGTTGCCACTCCAGCGAAGTTCTCGAATGAGTACGCGTCGAGAACGAGAAACTAAACAAAGCTACAGAAGCGAACTCCCTGAAAATTACCCGAGAAATTAAGGACTGGTCATAGTGACAGGTCAGTTATCCTTCATAGAATGAAGGAGAGTGGAAGTTCAAATCATAAAACTCGTTTTGTGCATGAAATTTGGTTGATAAAACAGCCTCAGGATATCTGCGGAGTTACTTGTCAAAGGTGTATGGACTAAATAGCCGAATGAACTTGAAACAGAATCAAGCGAAGCTGCTTAAAGTAGTATTTAAGCCCCTCAATGAACGAAACTTAATACTACACAATAGATAGAAGATAAAGGGGTCAGAGGTTTTTGTCCGTAAGGACTTGTCGCTCGCAGACCGTGTAAAAAAATGAGAACCCAAAAATGAACCAAAAACTTAGGTTAGATGCTGGTAGAAAGAACCTCGGAATTGTAAATTTTCGGGTTGTGACGACTCGACAGAGAATGATACCGAAGCGTCCATAGGTGCAGCACGAAGCCATTTAAATAGGCTTTTGACTCGTTACACAAATACTCGAAGCTTGCTTAATAAGCGATCTAATATAAGTGTACAGATTCGCTCTATAGGGTTTGAAGATGTTATTCAAGGAGTATAAATAAATTTGAAAATAAAATAAGGGACATGAAAAATTCAGAAGATTAGAATTTGTGAGAACACAAAGAATGGATGCACCTGCGCCATTGCAAACGATTTTGAGCCACGTCATTCAAGGTCTCTAACCATCGGTTGCTTTCATCTCGCGGTCTCCAACCACGTAGTCTACACCTACCAACATGGCTCAGTCCAATTGTCAGTGACTTCATGGACTTGTGTCATGTTTTGGTCTGGCAGCCCCTAGCTTTCTTCCAACCTACTTCTATGCCATTGAACATCGCACGTCGAGGCAGTCGGTGGTTGAGCATACGTAACACATGTCCCAGCCATCTCAACTGATGAAGTTTCACTACTTCATCAATTGGTTTGCCATCCATACCTAGTACCCGTTTCCTAACAACTGAGTTACTTACTCGATGGTCCTGGTAGAAGTTCAACCCTTGGAAATTTAGATGAGGAAAGTGTTATCTCTAAAAGTACATCAACGACAAAGTTAAACAAGAATGGAGATAGTGGGCAGCCCTGACAAACACCAATTGAGGTAGTCAATTCTGATGACAGTTCGCCATAAGCCCTCACTCTACCAGTTGTGTTGGAGTAGAGAGCCTTTACAAGGTTAATGTACTTCTTTGGTACTCCTTTCAGTGACAAACACGTCCAGGTCGAAAACCAGCCTGGTTTTCTCTAGTCTGCTCTTCACGAGCTTTAGTTAGGCGTCGAAGTATTATTGAAGCTAACATTTTAGACACTATTAGTCAAACTGATTCCTCTGTGATTGTCACAAGAGGACTTTTGTCCTTTCTTAAAGACTGGCACAATCAGTGATTGAGACCAGTCAGATGGGATTGCGTCCAGTTCCCAAATTCTACCTAAGACCTCAGTTAATCTCACTGCTAATACTGGACCACCATCCTTAAAAATCTCAGGAGTGAACCTGTCAGGGCCTGTTGCTCTCCCTCGCTTCAGATTTCCGATAGCTTTTTCAACTTCATAAAGAGTCGGAGGACCTTCATTAACTTGCCATTCAGGTTGACTGGAGATCGTGGGAAACCGAAGTGTGGCTGAAGGCCAGTTGGACTGATCCCTAAAGTGTTCTGCCCATCGATCCAATCTCCTGGATTGAGAATGTATAATATGTCCATCTTTCTCTGAGATTGTTCCTAATACCGGTTTCCTTAACAAGTCTGAACAATTGCCTGCTATTTCCTATTGCCGCTGCCTTTTCCATCTCTCTTGCTTTCGCTACCCACCACTGTTCGCGATCATTGCGTAGGCTTCTTGTCAGCTTGCGCTTAAGCTGACTCCGCTCTTCATTATGTTCAGATCCAGATGGAATTAGTTTTCGAGCATCTATCAGTGCGGTTGATGCTGCTGAGATCCAGAGTTGTTTCCTAACCTTACGGTTTACCGTACTAGAAGATATCACTGATGTTTCCACAGGTTTTCGGATATGATTCCATGCTGCTTCGGGGTGGGCTTCACCTACATGGCTGCCTGACCGTTTTCCTAGTTGTTCCTGAAATATACTCTCAGCTTGACTATCATTAAGTAGGCCCCTAAGAGGTTTCCTTGCAGCGTCTTTCTTACGTCCAGTAAGACGCAAGCAAATACGCGCTCGCACTAGAGCTTGATCTGAATCTAGGCATGTGCTCCAGAATGAGCGACAGTCTTCTATCGAGGCCCTCTATCGGTGGCTGATAGCGGTGTGATCTATTTGGGTACAACGTTGGAACGAATTATGGGGTCGCCATGTTAAAAGATGTTTTTCCTTATGCTTAAAGTTAGTATTTGCAAGAAACAGGCGGTTATCTGAGCATAGCTACAACAGACAGTCGCCATTATCTGTTCTTTGAGCTATGACACCATAAAATCCACCTAGGTGTCTTTTGCTTAGTTTACCTACTTGAGCATTAGTCACCGGCCATTATTACTACATCAGAGCGCCTAGCTTTTCGTAGAAGGTCGGAAAGCTTTCTGCAAAACTCATCTTTTACATCATCTGAGCTGCAGTCAGTGGGAGAATAGACAGAGACGACGAAGAGGCAACGACGAGTGTCCCTATCTTTCCGAGTCCTTATTGTTCCGTTTAGTCGGACAGCGCACAAACTACTGTCTACTGGGATCCACTCTAAGAGAGCTAGTTCTGCCCTAGGACTCAATGCTATACCTACGCCGGCGAGTTGACGAGAAGCAGCATCTGGGCTTCCAGATACACGAAGTGTGAATCGAGTTGGTTCTTTATTTTGACATAGTGATGTCAAATGAATGACGCTACTCGGATCCTGTATGCGCGTTTCGGAGACGCAGCACACATCGATGGCGCGAGATTCTAAAGTCCTAGCTAAGGAAGCTCCAACATGAAGTTTAGAGCGTGGTTTCAGGAGACCAGGAATAACGTCCCACGTATTTGAATCGTTTGCCCTAGCGGTGAGAAGTGATAAAGAGACGTGAGGAGGGTTAGTCGGGGAGATAAGAGAGGTATTAGGAGGTGTAGGAAGGATTTGAACGTGACCAACTTGGTCTCGTGTGCTGTTACGAGTATGAGGGCTAATGTCACTTCCCGGCTGCCCACACCGTGGAAGGGTATTTCTCGAGGAACCTGAAAAAGAAGGCAGATTAATGTTGGCCTTAACGGCCGGTTGACTATAGACTTTCCCATCGAATCATCAACAAGTGGGATTCATTACCTCAACTCTTTCAAAAGCAATCAACTGAGAGACCATTATTGCCAGAACTAACACAGGCCACCTAGCCTACTGTCTTTTACACACTGAAACTGAACTTGTGAAAGCTTTCCATAACAATAGGTATTAAAATACTTTTGTTACGATAGTAGCATTATAGACCTGATGCTTTGCTGTTGTAGAGTCCATTCTCAGCAGCAGAGCAATACAAGTATATTGTACATCGTAGTTGCTTCTTCGGTTGGCGATCTCCATCCATCATATCACTTGTTTTCGTCATACTAAACAGTTGCTTATACTTGAAAGAGCTTTGAAGTTAACGTTTCTAACTTTTCCTTGGTCAGACTTTTAATTCATATCGAAATAGCTTCACTAAAGTCTTATCTGATATTTTCCAGGTCGTGCGCCTAGTCATACGATGACTGGTCAACGTCGCTCCATCAAAAAAACTTCCACTAGAAAGTCAGATCTTTTTCCGGAGGAGAGGTAAAAAGTTTTACTACGCTCCACATTTCTAGAACGTTCGTCAATCCGTCAGCTTTGAGTCCTCATCTATTCTGTCCAATATGTCAAGAGGCTTTCTGTAACCCCCAACGTGCTCCTTGTGGTCATAGTTTTTGCAAGAATGTAAGTTTGTAAATAAGTGCTTTTTATGTTAATACTTATCGTACTTCCGAGATTCATAAAACTGCAGGTTCCTTTTGTTTCGTAAAGTTCTATCTTCGTAATGCTATTGTATTTCATTTATTCGTTTCCTGCCAAGTTCTTTGAAAAGAAATATGCAGGTAGTGATAAAGTACGATATTCACTGGTTTCATAATAATATAGTAGTCAATCTGATGCACCTCTGTTATGACAGCTTGTGATGTAATAAAAAAGTACGGTAACATATTACTGATTTCGGCCTCCAACCGGAAACCGCTTCAATTAGAAAACAATCCTAACTCTAACATGACTCGGTTGTCCAATTACGTACGGGTGATAATTTAGACGCGCATAATTACTTGTTTAATTTCGTGTTTTTTACTATCTGTGGCCAGTAACTTAAGTAAGACGAACACAATTAACGTGAACGAAGAATACTCTTTTCAATAATTTCTCATCAGGTTTTACAGTTATATATCCAAATTAATAATCCATAAAATTGGCCAGATTTAAGGCAGAGTACATCATTTAAAATTGTAACATGTGAATCAATTGTTGTTTGTCATACGAAATCAAATCGTTAGTGTTGGGATGACTAATGTGAAGTGTTAACTTGAATCACTTTCTAAGCGAAATGAAATTGTGCGATAAATGGTCATAATAAATATGGTCAACATGGGGTAAGAGAGAGAGAGAGATAGGATACTGTAATTACAAATCAGAAATTACGAAATATGTAAAATAATATGAATTAGGTCAGATATAGTGGATAGGGATGGATACTGAATAAATTCCTCAAAAAGGTTATCAAGTGTAATGATAATAATAAAAACAATGATAGGGATGATAATAACAATGGTAAAGATAATAATAATAATAATAGTAATAATAATGTTGGTCTAACATCAATCGGTTCATGATCTCAATCAAAAACTTAACAATCTTTACAACCCATAAAAACTGATAATTACCATGTGCTCACTAGTGACTAGCTTCGTGAGAAAATTCTCGGAGTTCTGGTGAGAAGCCGTGACCAGTGGAGCTAATCCATGTCGGGTAGAAACAGGTGTCTACCTCAGTACAATGGAAGATGGTCGCACAACCTCGTGGATTGGTTGAGGTTAGACATGAACACCATTGAATGCCGGCTCAGTGGTCCAGTAGGTTAAGCGTTCGCGCGCGAGACTGAAGGCCCTGGGTTCGAGTCCCGCCAGCGGGATCGTGGATGCGCACTGCTGAGTAGTCCCACAATAGGACAAAACGGCCGTCCAGTGCTTCCAGGTTTTCAATGGTGGTCTAACATCAATTAGTTCATGATCTCAATCAAAAACTTAACAATCTCCACAACCCCTAAAAACTGATAATATTAATAATAATAATAATAATATAATAATAATAATAATAATAATAATAATAATAATAATAATAATAATATAATAATAATAATAATAATAATAATAATGTCTGGGACATAAAATGAACATTAATCAAATTACGTCACCATATTATAAGGTTGATTATTAACTAGTTGGCCAGGCTACATATTTCTTTTGGATGCAAAGATTTGGCTTATTGATCTGAATGGCAACAACTAATTATGATCGTCCTGAGCACGCAAGATGATATGCCTATAACGACTACAGCACAGATCGGCAGTCAATGACTTAATATACGGATGCCAGTTTCTAACCTACTGAAATCGAAGCAGAAATCGATGATCATACACGCCCCGACTAACTAGGATTATGACGAATCACACACTAGTAACTTTTCCCCGTATTTCGAAACAAATACTATCGTTTATTTAATAGCCCTACTACACACGAACCATGTTTCTAGGACATTTATTATTTCTACCCCCATGCGTGTACTTCATTTTCACTGATAAGATTCAATACCAATTACAACATACAAAAATTCCGATAAGTTATGTCTCTTTTCAAAAACCAGACAGAATTTCACTGCTCGAATAGAAAATAAGTGTTAGCTCAAAATTACTGATGTGTGACAATATAACTGACTAACCGAAATTAGTAAACTACTCATCAAACATTTGGTAATGTTTTACTTGAATCCTCCCATTGATGTTTAGGACTGAAATTGATCAGTCTCTTATGGGCATATGTGCATACTGTGCGTTGTTGTTTAGGATACTTTATTATGATGATAAAGGTAGTTTCCTGTCAAAGTACCAGTCCTGTTTGACTAATGTTTTTAGTTTCTAGAAATCGAATTTTAGTTCTCCATTTCTAGATTTACTTGGATACAAAATGTATGTTATTGGAGTTCCAGCACATTTAATCCTCGTCTTATAAGTGTTACGTCACTTAGTTCGCAGTATTTTTAGATCCACATTTTTGACCCGAAAGTCGACCATTTGTGACCGTAACCTTCGTCTCAACCTCACTATTGTGACACATATTGAAGTAGTTCTTATGTCTAAAGAAATTGATTTACATCTAGCATTTAATATCTATTCTTTGCACATAACAAAATATCGTCTGTACACCAGATAGTTCTTACCAAATGGTAAATATCTTCCAAGTTACTTTTATATGCTTTCAGTGTATTGAGCCCTGGATTCAAAATACTCCTAACTGTCCGGTGGACCGTAAACCGATTTCAAAAGGATCAATGCATCATGATTTTATTGTGGAAAATATAATAGGTGATTATATGGTAAGTCATTTTGTTACATTTGGTTCAAAGCATCATACGGTTTCTATTTTTGCTTCAATGTATTGTTTTGTTCCGTATTCCTGATGATTAGATTGTCTTTTCTTTCAGACTTGAAATGAAACCAGTGAGAAAGTTATCTGCTGTGGATTTAATTAAGACAGACAGCAAAATTCCATCAGAAACTAAACTAATTCATTGTTGATTCGCTAATTACATATCCGTATGTATACTTATTATATATGAGCAGGTTCATGTAGAGTGAATTTCTAACATGATGTCCATCGGTTAAAGCCCAGACATCTCAACCATTAAGCCTGTTTAAAATTTTTCATATAACTACTTTGATTCATGCTTTAAATAGGTTCACAAAAATTGGAATATTCATGTAATTATATAAGAAAAACTACTGTAAAAATAGCTTTTAAAAAAAATTATATGAATCGTACAATTTTGTGCAAACATGGGAAAACTTACAATATTTGACCTATATATCAGACATTCTATTCTGCAGTTTGTAAATCATTTATTTATGCGTTGTTGATCGGTCATCAACCTTTTATCTCAGGAAAAGTAATCGTAATGTAACATGCAAACTTATTTAAAGTATCCAAATGACCTCAATGTCAGTATAACATACGTTACAGAAATCACTCGCAATCCTTCGAAATTTAGTATTTATTTAGCGCTTAATTTCATAAATTTCCTTGATACTTCTAAGTAGTATATATCTACTTCCACTGCCTCTCCTTTGTCCTTCATGCACTAGTAATTACTGGTTGGCTCGCAGACTTTTCACCTTACACTAACGTTTCTCCTGTTCGAAACGCTTCTACGTGAGTTGAAAGAAGTCTCGATCCAGTAGAGTTTACTATTGATTAATAATTTTTATTTCTCATTTTTATGGTCGAAAATCCTTTTCATGTCCCACTAATTTTTCACCGACTATTTGATATACACTCTTAACATTTCCATCTTTGAATTAATCATAAAGTTCTGGTTTTCCTGTGTTATGTCACTTTTAGATCTATACATGCTTCCACTTAAGAATATTTGGGACTAAATTATAAGTTATCGGGGAATCATCTGTTAGATGGTTATTACTGTAGAATCTATTTAGATTCACTGTTAAGTTGGGGGCGGTCATCATCAGGTTAGAAAGTATTTCTACTTTTGTCTAAAGTTTGGTACTTACTTGAAATAAATGATCATCAGAGTATGGTTATATCAAGCCGTCAATTACCGATTCCGCTGGTTAGTATTAAGAAAAAACTGTTTTAGTATTTTCTGTTCGAATTAGTCTGGTTAATCCTGCCTGAAACTTTCAGTTCCATTTAGTCAACGTATGATCGATTGTCCGTTGGGATTGTGTTCAGAAGTGGGATGATGAATATTTGCTATGTAGCCTGTGACAACTCAATAGATCAGTCCTACTAATCATGTTAGATCCTGCAAGTAACGAATTTTGTATCCTTTGAACGAGTTCCGGAGACGTATTCACGAATGCCGAGATTTTGGAGTTCTGGCTAGTGCGTCTGATTTAAAACAGCACCTGAATATTAGAATCTCTGTGTGTTATGGAAAATGACTTCAAAAGACTAGGGATGTCTTTCCATAAACATAGGTTGTTGGCGCGGTTTGTAAATTTGGAAAATGAAAAATAGTAACAGAAATATGAAAGTATCCAGGAATAAATAAAACAAATTGATAGTGAAGAGCACGAACGAACGAAACGCTAGAGGTTTATAAGCTGTCAATACTTCCCGGCTGATCATAGTAAGGGAAAATGTTTATTGATTGTAAACCCATAAAATTAATGCCGAACACTTAATATATTTGGAAGCCTAATCATTCAAGCTAAGAAACATCTGCAGTCGGCCGGCTACACGTTTATATATACTGACTTTGTTTTTGAATCTTGTACCAGCTCGGTTTGCTCGTGAGGAATGAAAGGTTGTGTCATTTTTAAGTCTGAATTTCACTTATCCTTCCTTCCGTTTGTTTGATATCAGGATATCTCGAGATGTTGACTTTCTATGGGAAAGACGTTACTGCCACTACATCCCGATATGGTTAGCAGTGCGACTCCGTACTTTATCCTCAGACTAAATCCAACTATATTAGGATCTGCTATATTTTCGCCAACTAAATAGCCTAATGTTTGTGTCAATGAGCAGTTTTTGTTCTCAGTAAGTTGTTTATACTGTTTTAAATTGTCACAACGATAAACTTAAATCCAATACATTTGTTATGGATTCAGTGATAACAATATTTGTTTTTCATTTTACTATTCATTTTTGCAATACATTAATTTTCCATTTAGGTCGCATGTCCTTGGCGTGCACTCGGGTGTGATTTTATTGGCCAGTTATCCCTTTTACCCGGTCATAAGAAAACATGTGTCATGAATCCAAGTTCTATGCCTCCAGCTCTACGTGCTCATACCTCAGCTTCCTTAAATCAAGTTAATAGCAATCAATCTCTAGATCTGAAATCTTGTAAAAATAATCAACAGTCGTCAGTAAAAGTTAGTTTTGTGTTTCAGTCACAACTTCCTTTGAATACAATTACAACGGCAGAGGGAATTATTGATGGTAATCAATGTCCCAATATTCATAGTATTGAGTCAAGAAATGGCTCAAGTTCGTACGACGATGCTCATGAAGAAAGTCTTATACTTGTTAGTGATGATGAAGCTAATTTACCGCCTGCTCCACCACCCAGTCTTTTGTTCCGACTATACCATAATTCTGATTCTAATAGTCGTGGGTTATTATGTGATTTTATACAAAATGGTTCAAATACTACAACTCAGTCCTCTAGTACTAACAATAAAAACAAGAATAGCCCTAATAAACGAGGACGTAAAAAATAAACTTAGATTCAATACTGTTCCGGTTGATTTCTCAAAGCATTTCAAACTAGTGTTCAAACTTTTGCCTAATATGTACATTTGTAAACACAAATATCCGGAATGTTTTCTTTTAAATGTTGTTTAAAAAACATTAATTGTTGTATCAGAATGTGTATCCCATACTCATTTTTTCATTAAATTCAAGCATACCGGTGAATATTACGTTGGTCACGTGATGGCAACTCAGTTGAATTGCACTCAGTCGAAATTCCGACATCGCTCAGTCTCTGGCAAAACTACTTACAAGCGATGCCAAAAAGGTGCATAATTACGCATTAGTTTTAGCGTGCTTTCCGCTATTTGTGAACATGGGTCCCCCAGTAGGTTAAACCGAGTGAACTGCTTTGTTTGCTTTTGGGAATGTTTGGTGCGTGGTTTGCGAAGTCCGAAGAGGTAATCAGTTATCTTGTGATACCACATTAGCTTTAAGTGGACATTTATTTTCTGTTTAAGTTCTAAGAATCTATCGTAAATCAGCCCAGTAGGGTTAGTATTGATAAAATCTCATTCCACCGTTGTTTGCTTCTCTTGATGAACATTTTGTGGGCTGTCTTGATGTGCAATGTTAACTGCTAAAGTCAATACGTATGTACGCCGGACTCTAGGTATTACTTATATTATAATAAAAGATAAATGGTGGCTAGTAGCTGAATCCAGGAAACGCGTGTCATCCAATTCGGGGCTCGTCAGCTGGATGAACCTTCTTCTCAGAGTTGATGTCCACTCTGGGACTGGAACTCAGTACCGTTCGCTTCAAACGTCATCGCGTTATCCACTTAGCTACTGAGTCCTAATAACCACTTGCTTATGCAATGGGGTGAAGTTTAAATTCACTTGGTATTGTTTGTTTGAATCTTCCCATTGACGTTTAGGACTGCAATTGATCAGTCTCTTATCGGCATGTGTGCGTTTTGCCTCGATACAGCCCTAATTCACAAGCATTATATGCAAAGATGGATAGTGGTTAGTAGTGGAACAGGCGTTATGGATTCAATCTCTTTCCTCAACTGGCGATGTGTTTCTATTATCTTGCGTAGATAGTCGTTTAATGGTGGTGTTAATAGTTCTTCAAGTTTCAGCTCCGTGCATTTGAATTTTTCTAACGTTGGTATTGAAGAGTCTGACTTGGGTAATAGTTCTTGAAAGTTCAAGATATTCTCATATTGTAGGTATGATGTCTTTGCTTTTCCAATTACTGCCTTCACATCTGCATCAGATTGTTTTCGTTTATCGATGATCATGCCCAAGAATAGTCCTTTCACCAGGTGTGATTTGGTTGGTGCTCACTGAGTTGTATCTCAGGGCCTTTCTTTTTCCGTTGATTGAAACTTACTACTGAAAAAACCTCTGCGATACTGACTGTACGTCTTGATACGTGTGCAGTAACAGGACGAATTCCGAATAATCCAGCTGTGCTTAAAGGATAATGTGTAGGTCATGAGTATACTCGCGACAAGTTACGAATGTTGATGTTAGTCAACAATTCCTAGTAAACCTTTTAATGGAGTTGTGAACCTGTAATGAGACGACAGAAGAATCTTTGTTACACACCCAGCCACCGAATTTATTAGCACATTATGCTCATCATTATGAGTGGGGACTAAGTTAAGACATGGGATCGGTCTGTGCTACATGGGAGGACATAGACCTACTAGATAAGATGTACAGGACGGTCGTAATCAATTGTAAGGAAACTTAGTATGGCATGGTTGCGACTTATGACAGGCAAATATACATTCCTTACCTTTATTTACTTATTAAAAAGCATATGATTCATCGATTCTTTATTCCGATTCACACATACCACTTGTTAGTTTATTACCACTCGTTTTTCCACTCGCCATTTTTAAAGCGCTTCGATTTGAGCAATATGCAAATATTACTAAGACCTGCCTTATATTAATTGAGCACTGTTGAATCGCTTAGGGTGAAATTTTAAAATAATGTTTGGATTTATGACTGTGATCAACGTAATTAGCTATGTTTAACGCTCAAAAAATTATGACGTAACACTTGTCTAGCTTAAGGCTATTTATGTACGTCCACATTGAAGAGTGACTCTGTTCAGACAAAAATCATTACTTCGGATTATGTGATCTCGAATTAAATCGATTAATCTAAATGAATGTGATTTCATCACGCTCGGTCTTCATATATGATGTCATCTTCACGGAGGTTTTGCGCTAACAGATATTGTTATGCAGTTCAATCAACCTGGAAAGCATATCTGACCGCCTATTTAATTACATTGTACTTGCATTTTAATGAAACTTGGTGTGATATATAATAAGAAAAAATTATGTAAATGTATACATTTATCAAAATAAATTCAATTTCTGACCTAACTGAAACGATCGATTTGGTTACGGAAGTATTACAACTAAAAAAGAGTTGATTAACAGGTGGAAATAACATTTTGATCACTTTTATTTAATGAATAAATCATCCTCAAATACAGATACTGTAGTTATTTCACGACTTAAACGTCTTATTTATTGAACGAATGTAAGACAAGAGAGTAACAAAAAACTTTAAGTAATTTGAATAAATGAAGGTTTTCTCTGAATTCATAAATCAAACATTTCTGGAGCGTTTTATAGATAAAGAAATAAACCAATAATTCAAGATGATAATCATTCGTTCCTGCTGTTCCCGAAACTTGGGTTAAATAAAGTAGCATTCGAAGAAGGCAGATATGAAAAGATTAGCCCAATTAATCCTTGGTTGAATTTGATATTGTTAAACATTCAGATAAGGATGGACCTTTAGGGCCGTAAGGATCTTCAGGAAGAAGAAATGTGTTCCCTGACATTACGTATGGAAGTAGTCTGAAAAAGCAATGAATTAAAAGGAAAGATATGTGAAGGAAAAATGAATTACTAGCTAAGGGGACTACCTATGATCAATTTTTATTTTCACAGGTTGAACTGTATTAAAATGACAATACAGGAAATAAAAAATAAAACTTATACTTGTATGTTTCATAAAAACTTGCGTCGATTGTGCAATGCTTTGATGACATAAGCTGAGGAAGTATTGGTAAACAGAAGGAAACAATGAGGACAACAGCAAAGCGTTAGATTTCCGAAAATAAAAAAATGAATTGTAAGAAGAAAACATCAGTTTCCTTAGGAAAGCACAACTGCTGATTCGAATGAAAGGTATCGCAGAGGTCAATAATATTGAAGGCTCGATACAGCCAGTTTAGACGTAGAATTTGGACGTATGTACATTAGTCCAAGTTGCCATACCCCATTAACATAGTGATAAAATTGTCAGGCCAAATCCCAGAATAGTAGAGGTAGTAACATTACCAGTGGGAATAGGAAAGACTAGGCATCGAAGATACAATTCAGAAAGAAAATATAAACTACTGAGAAAAAACAGAAGTTTTGGGGGAAAGACAACAAATGGATGCAACTGCGCCATTGCAAACGATTTTGAGCCACGTCACTCAAAGTCTCTAACCATTAATTACGATAATTACGCATACTAGATAGTCTATAACTATTAATATGTCCAAGTCCAATTGTTAGTGACTTTATGGACTTATGTCATGTTTTAGTTCGGCTACCCTTAGCTTTCTTTCAGCCTACTCCTACACCAGAAAACATTGCCCGTCAAGGTAGGTGGTGGATGGACATAGGTAACTTATGTCCCAATCGCCTCAGTTGATGAAGATTTAATACCTCTTGAATCGACTTGCCACCCTTGCCCTGCGCTTTATTCCTAACCCAGACACAAATACTAGTAACCTACGAATATCCTTTACTCTTAATAGCCGTGTTCCGCACCCATAAAGTGGAAGAGAACGAACCGTTGAGCAGTAAACTCGCCCTTCGGTTAAAAGATGGATATCTCGCTTACGCCACAGGTGACGCAAGTTAGCGAAAGTCGATAAAGCTTTTCGAATCAGTGCAGAGATTTCGTCAGACCTCAGGACAAACGAAACACCCAAGATAAGTTAAGTAGTCGATGCGTTCAACTACTACACTCACCATCATTAGTTCAGCCCATGACGCAAGCCAATCCTGAAGTGACATTCTACATTTGCAGGGAGAGAACCGCATCCCAAACATGTTTAGATTGTTACTTCAGGTGGTTGGAGGATTTTATTTTGTCTGTGTCTTCACCAAGCAAAACAATATCAGCTGGGTATTGTAAGTCAACAAGTGAATCTCCTCGCGATTAACGGAGTCGAGTGCTGTCTTACAGTCAAGGGATACACCTACAGTTGGACGTCGAAAAGTATGTCTATGTTTCAGAATCTGCCGGGTGGTGAATACTTGGTGTATACATTAAAGTCCAGATCTGAAACCAGACCAGTTTACGCGGGTTCGCTCCTCACGAGCTCTAGCTAGACGTCGAGATATCATTTTAGACACTATAAGCTAAACTGATTCCTCTGCGATTGTCACATGAGGATTTTTGCTCTTTCTGATGAACTGGGACGATCAACGATCGCGACCACTCATGTGGGACCGAATCCAGTTTCCAGATTTCAGTTAGTCTAACTGCTAAAACTAGACACTATCCTTAAAATTATCAAGGGTTAATCCATCAGTTTGATGGAGAATGTTGGTCGGCGGTCTATGCTCCTCTACGAGGGGTAACAGGAGTAGGTGAGTAATCCACCACACCCTGTTGATTTCCCTTGAATATATTATCTACAGCCTTGCATCAGTAAACAAATTTAATGAAGCGATTTGTAAGACGACTTTGAAACATAATTACATAGCCTTTTGTCATAAGAGTATAAACCATATACCATTACACCAAGCTCACCGTAGTTTTGATTTCGATTACAAGCTTCAAGATATTACTGTTGATTAGTAACTTTACTCAACTTTTCAAACGAACATTGTATGATTTATTATACACCATTTAAAATGCAACAAGCGAATGTCGCGCACATTTGAAGTAAATCACTTTTTCTATCATTTTGTTATAAGTAAACGAAGTGTAGTGCACGGAGTTCAAATATTCGAATATTTTTAACAGGTCATTCCACCTGCAACGGAAGTTTTTAACTTCGAACGAAACTTTTCTTGAAAAAAACTCAGTAAATCGTCCAGCATCTCGTACACTTTGGAAAATCTAAATAAATCTCGAATAACAAAAATCGAGGTATTTTCTAAAATTTTAATTGATCATGAATGCAAAGGGAATAAAGATTATTTAACACTGAATAAGTTCCTTGAAATGTGTGGTGAGAACAAACTTCGGAAGTTTGAACATTATAATTCAGGTTGAAATTGTCTGCAAAACCTTTAGCAGACTAAATGATAATTGTGAAGATACAAAATTCTACTACTATGCTCGATGTTATCTTTAAAAATGAAAAAAGTGACCTTTTGCAATTGTTATCTTTGATATGGTGGGGTTAAAAAGGCAAAATTACATCTTTTTGCTCATTGTGATTTTTGGTCAACATTACTTCCGTGTTTTTTAATTCAATGCGTTAATTATTCAGAGTAATATTTGTCTTTATTTGACAGTGTGATTGTTATGACCTTGGATGTCTTGTTTTGCTATCACACGATTTATCTACCAATCCGGATACGACTTATACGGATCTCTACACTAGGCCAACCAATGACGTTCAACCGGTGTGGGCAGTTTAGCGTCCTTATTGGTCCTATGTCCTACGAGCCCTTCCACTTGAGTCCAGAACAAGATACCAGCTTCCGAATCAGAGCAGATCGTTTATTTCAGGCATACTTGGTTTATATATCAATCATACAGACCGCAACGTACCATAAAATAGGAAATAATATTTGTACACAAGTAAGCCCAAGAAGTGGCTGTGAATGAGGGAGGCAGTAGTTAATAAACTGAACATAACTTAAGAACCGTAAATCGTACAATAATAAATTATAGGCCAAAATAAAGCTTGTCATAAGAGGGATACAAATATACATAATGTAATTGTTGAATAGTTATGCAATAAGAATATTAGTCCATGAATAGTCCTCGGAAGTTACCTGTAATTTAATCTCCACTCGGATATAACAGTGATATTTTATTCAGTTTAACATTAATTTATTTGAGTATCATGTTTATTCAAGATATGATATTCTTCTATTAGATTAATGTAAACTATGCACACCATGTGATTCGTTATAACTCTGGGTATTTTTCATATATGTGATTTCATACTAATTATTAATCAAGATGGGTGTACAATCAATATATAAATGAGTGTAGTTTCGACTGTTGTCGTTGTCTTGACTTGGAGTTAATTAACCTTGATTTGTGCCAGTATTGATGTTGTTAGTTCGCGTCGTGGTATCTGAAAGGGTTTCTCGTTTTTTCAAGTATAAGTAATAAGCAATCTTGACGAAACAGTTGGTGACTAGCTATAACAATTGGCGATGCAGTCATAACAGTTGATCACCAGACATCACAATCTTGATCTGAGATCTTCTGGTGACTAGGTGCATAAATCCTAAAGACACGTTAAGGATTATCTATACTGCTACATCTACGCAATTTGTCAGTAAACCTGAGTTGAACACAACATTTATTAGAAATCAGAACTGTGAGATCCGATTATTTTATAAAGATGATAAATGACTTTGTCAGGGAAATATAAGTGGAAACCAAAACTGAATTCGATAAAAGCGTTGATATGACATAGTTGAATAAACAAGCTATAACCCTGGACGAGTTTAATAACTTTATCTAGTCTTTGAATGACTTTCTATATGAGATAGAAAGTTGTTTAAATCTGATACTAAATTTTTAAAAAAAATAATTTAATTCAAGCCATATTTCCTCTTTTAACAGATAAAATTGGATGTAGGACTGTACGCGTACGTATCAGTTAATCTCAAAATAAAAAGAAAAGGTTATTTAATGCTGCTTTTAATAACAGTAATCTAGCTGATGAAAATTACTGTTAAATTTTCATTTAATGTAATAAAGTGACCAAACACAAGCTAATGAAATATAGGTTTGATGTCGAAGTAATTAATTAGCACTACTCAGCATCTGGAGCCGAAGTAGGTTTGCTGAGTTAAAAATTGATTGATTTATTTAGTAGGCTACCAATCCACATACTTCATACAATGTTACAACAGGACTGTTCTAACTAGCCAATTAACGTACAAAAATGTAAAAATCACATCACTTACCTTGTTTCAATAAGTTTTCTAAATTTAGCATTTTCCGACATAAGATCACGATATTGATCATTGGATATGATGACTGCATTCTTATCAGCTGCCAATTGCAAGATTACGCTGGATATTCACAGAAAAATAGACAGATTTTTAAAAACTGCATAGTTGAGTAAAAAATTTAGGAATCTCTATAAATTGTAAAGGTGATATATTTTGTAAGCTTCAATGGCTAAGTAAAACCATAATACCGAATTACTATTTCCTGTTAATCAGGACTTAGGAGTTTTATAGTGACGGCAACATTTATCAGAATGATAGTGTTTAATGATTGTTTAGACTTGAAAATACCACGCAATTAATAGCAGAAGTGATACTCCCATTATTTAAAGTCTAACAGATGTCAAAATATTATAACTTCTGTTAGGTTTGAAGCTATCATGAGTTCACTTAATCTGCGAACGAGAACAAAGACTCGATGACAAAAGACCAGCAAGCTAGCTATTGATGCGTCCCAGCCGCGCTAACTAGAGGGAAAAGTCCAAGCTTGGAATAGGAAGTATATTCTGCAAAGAAGCCAGAAACGAGCGATCCACAACACAATTAAAAACGTATATATATCAATTATATGTATATAATCGATATTGCCATGGAAGTTTTTTAAACATTTAATCGATAAGTTAGTCAATCGACTGCATTTCTCCCCTCTAAATGCAAGTTGTTGCTTCAGGACTGGCCTGCGTCAACACCTGAACTAAGGATAGGGAGTGAAGTGGTTGAATGCGTCGACAACTTTACTTAGTTAGTGTCTGACGAAATCTCTGCAAGGATTCAGAAAGCTCGTATGGTTTTTGCCAATTTACGTCACCTATGGGGAAGGTAGATATCCATCTATCAATTAAAGGACGAGTATGCTGTGCAGCAGTTCGTTCTGATCTACTTTATAGCTGCGAAACGTGGCCGTTAAGAGTAGAAGATACTCGTAAGTTACTAGCATTTGATAATAGGTGCACTAGAAATACTGCTCACATCTGCTGAGTTCACCGAGTGAGTAATAGTGAAGTGAGACACATGGTATTTGGGAATCATCTCAGTCGATGAAGATTCACAACCTCATCAAATATATTACCATCATTCCCTAATACCCTGTGTCTAACCTCACTATTACTTACCATCCCTAATCCTGACTAGTGTTGGAGATGGTTGGAAGAAAGTTAGGGGTGTCCAAACCAAAACGTAGCATCGGTCCATAAAGTCACTAACTTCTAGTCTTAGCCATGTTGGTATATGCATAATGCATACTTAAAGACCTCTGGAGCCAATTCAGTGAGGCGCAAGCAAATGCGTGCGCGTACTTTACTTTCTTCGTAAAAAGTGGTTGCTCCTTCCCTAACTGAAAGATTTCTTCTGGTTGTACCTTCCCGTTCCCCCATTATTACTATTATTATTATTATTCTCTTCTTCTTTCACGCTCCTTACTTTTTTCCTTGTCTTTAAATTCTCATTGTTTTGTGTGGCGCATATATATTTGGTGCCCTCTTGTACCAATATTTATGTGTTCAAATAAATAAATAATAAACTGGTGCAGGTGGTCGCCATGTTAGACGATGTCTCTCTCTCTCTCTCTGTGCTTAGAATTAGTGTTTGCTAAAGATAAACAATTGTCTGAACACAGAGGGTGTATCTCGTAGGCTCTCCGTTTTGGCGAAGTGGGGTCAAGTGAATAACCACACTAGGATCTTGTATACGTGTTTCGGAGACATATCATACACCAATGGTACAAGATTCTAGGGTTTTAGCCAAGGAGGCCTGTGGCCGACTTGATACACAGTGCATACGTTGAAGGCTCCAATGTGTAGTTTGGAGCGAGGTTTTAGTAGACCTGGGACAGGGTTTTACGCACTAGAATCGTTGGCCATGGTGACACTTGAGGAGGAAGTAAGAGAGGAAGATTAGAGTTGAAAGTCGAGGTAGGAGTAATAATAGGAATTGAAGAGAGTGATTGATCATGAATACAGTGATCTTGAGTACTGTTAGAGGTATGAGGATAGTTATCACTTCCCGGTTTCCCACACCGTGGAAGGGTTCTTCTGGTGGTACCTGAAAAGGAAATTGGGTTAGAGGTGGTCTTAGTGAACTAAGAGTGTGACCACAGTGCCCAAGGGACAACTGCTTGAGGTCGGTCACACACGACCTTTTTGTGTGCAATTTTCGTGTTAGCTCCGTACTTATTGAGACCTTACCGCCGGAGAAGGAAATCCGTGGGATAAGGCGGTGTGCATTTTTAGGGTCGACCTTTTCTAACCTCATCCCTCTTTGTGGGAAGGCAGGATCACTGTTATGCGGGTTTTCTGAGAGGAACACCTTACTGCCGTCACACCTCTGTACAGTCAACAGTACGACTTTGTCCTCAGACCTTGGGTTTGTTGGTTTTAGTCTTACCGCTCGTTAACCGACCTGTCTGGCATGGTAGGACCTTGAGGAACGATTGTTCCAGCCAGTACAGCTCGACTGGTTTATTACGATAGACAAGTCCGACCACCACGTCAAAGTAGGAACAACGGTCGGGCAAGTAGCGTATTAAAATAGTAACAAACTAATCAACGAAAAGAATTATCAACCGCGATAAAATATAGAAAGATGCTTGCTTGGTGATTTTCGGTAAGGGAAAACGTAAATTCAAAATCTAAAAACTATAAAAACAGTCTTATTAGCAAGAAATTGTGTTTAACATAAACCTACCGATCATCATACACTGCTTGTCTTTCTTGATTCAAAGTTCGTGATGGTGTATAAGTCAACATACCAGAATGCTCAAGTTCATCGAAATAACGGCCACCTTTGCCTTGATAATGTCTAGGTACTACAATAACTATATCTTTATGGCCACGTTTTTTGAAGTAATCTAAGGCTAGACGAATTCCCTGAACACTGAATTCTTTTTGTTTTCCATGGCTACAAGATAAAAACAAAACAAAGCAAAAAGGAAAACATACGGAATCCAAGAAGTTAATAAGGAAATAAACATTTAGATATTAATTTATTTGGATCAAAATGTTTCCCTGTTTGAGATTCATGAATGAATTTATAATTATCAGTCAGTATACAGGTATATATTCATATTGCTTTGCAGTTTATAGGTAATAATGGCTGAACATTTTAAGAATTGGATTAATGGTGCTGGGTTTGAGTCAGAATGTCAGCATGAATTATTTTCACCTGAAAACAATGAAACGCTATTTAATCTCAACACAGAGCACACTACCAGTACACTGATATCGGTTTACAGTGTACACCCAACTTTAAATCAGGCAAATGTCTACAAAAATACTTGTGTAAGATACGTTTTATGGTAAAGCAATAAAAGCTGAACGATTATTTGTATTCGTTGGAAGATAAGCGTCATATAGAGATATTTCGATACTGTAGTGGTAGCTGCAGGAAATCTGAATATTTAACAATCAGCTGGTATCAATTAAAAATTGAGTAAATATTAACAATTTATGATCACATGCTACAATTAAAAAAAACACACATTATAATGCCAGACAAGTTAGAAGCAGATACCTTGTCATATTAAAAAACTGAATTTAAAATTGTAAGTAAAATCAATTTATTATAATTCATTAAGTTTGAAATAAATTGTATTGTAATAGTAACTGAAGTCTTGATTGTACGCTAATTAACAATTCAATAAAACTAGTCGGGATACATATATAATTGAGTATATGAACCATTCTTCTGGTCAAGTTCATGGCTTACATGTCCTAGTCTGGATTAATGAGGACACATACATGAATCCATGAGTTATGTAAGCATTCATTCACGTTTTGCAACAGCTTCCTACATCTGGTTACTATTCCTAGTCTCACATAGAAGGTATTGTCAATGGTCACGAGACGTATATTGTAAATGAATTGACCAAGTGGATCATAATGAGTGGTGTTTTTTCTAGCACGAACTTCTGGGTATTATGAAAAATTAGGCCAAATTTTTCGAAACCCTATTCCAAGTTGCTGAGTTCTAATGTCATAACGAACCACCGTGTGAACATCCACACACTTCTGATTATGCTGTAAAAAAGTACCAGTAGTAAATAAGTCCATCGGTGTATATTTCCCTTTTTTGCTGTTGGGAGATGAGGCAGGGGATAATACGGAATAGAAAGTTTTCCGCAGTGTTGTGCATCATTCAAAATGATATTCCTTCGAAGTGTGGGTAAGTAAACGTTCATTTCTATTACTATTTTGCAATATATTTGCCATAATCGATTTCGTCAAATCTATTCAGAACTTCATTTGGTTATTTTAATCGCGAGAAGTCAGAAATAACTTTCTTGACAGACTTTAAAAAAGTTCAGCAATGCGATTGAAAATCAGAAACAAAGAAACTCTAATTTTACAGACCAATGATCAAAATTGTTGATTTATAGTTTAGTGAATTATTGTCAATCAACTACTGGTTGCTACTCGCACCAATAATAATAATATTTACAAACCCAGAGCAACTTACGCGAAACTCACATTACTACCGTCAATTATAATGGGTCTTAAGCGAGGTTGTAACGATTTATCTGACTTTATCTTAGAAGAATTTGTTAATAAAGACAATGGGTTCGATTCATTATCTAAAATATTGATAGAAATACATTGAATGGAAAGTTATTATTATTGCTATTCTTAAGGATTGTAAACTGGTAATAACTAATAATGAATACAATATGGACAATCAAATAGCTGTAAACGGCTATAAGAATCGGCTCTTTACTACGTAATGTCCGTGAAGAAATAAACACAACTATCAATACAATTGGAAACGTAAAATCTAATATACTGATATGTGATTGTATTAAGATGCATGTACAAGTCATTGATATAAACCATTATTTGAACAATTCCATTACTTACCCAAAATGACGTCCCCTTTTTAAAAGAACTGTTGACGTTTTTCGAAACATTTTACTAGAGTATATACTAACTACATTCTGTCTGTAATAAGAACGTCAAAACATATTCACAAGATCATATTTTTCCGCTTCCTTGTTTAAAATAACTAAGATACAAGGCAAACTACTCTGTCGATCCAAGTAATTAATGTGTAATACGGATTGTGATTATACATATTTGTGTTATTAAGATAATGACAAAAAGGTGATCTTTACTGCGTAATGACCGATAACTGTTCATGAGAATCAATTATGGATTCAAACATTTCGAATGAACTGATATCAAGAGCAACGCAACTGCCCAGTAGTATAGGTTTTTAAACAGTAAAGTGACTAACTCATGTACAAGATACTGAACACAATTATCAGAATGCTTAAGTTATTTAAAACAATCGACTGGATTTTGGGATAGTCAGTCACTCACGCCGCAATAAAATTAAGACGTCTATTAGCCGACTTCATATCACATAAATAATATAAAATCTGAGACGGAATGTCGAAATTAAGTTTCTAAAAAAACAACAGAAAGCATATAGCTGTAGAATATTTGTGAGTTAGATAAGCTTGTCACCATGACTGAACTCGAATCATTAAGTCTAACATCTGAAGTAACAAACGGCTTCTTAACTAGCACACATTAAAAATACAAGTTGAGAGAGCATCAGCCTTTAATTAGTTTTTCGAGAGGTCTAAACAATTGGATAATTTGCAAATCAGTGGAACGTCTCCACTTAATCATGTTCAAGTACTATTTGTCTCATTTTGCCTCAAATATGATGGTGTATCGAAGATCACCCAAGTGCAATACATGTTACAGTCACCTGCGTTCGTGAGAATTTGAAAATCTGCCTTACTTAAAAACGTTTGTTCAGTGATTTCATCACACAGGAGTAATAGTTAAAAGATATAAACTACCAGTTATTCGTAATACACTCATGGTGGCAATTTGTGATCACCGTATAACAATTCCGAAACCTAGCGCCTACTGAGTATATAAATATTTCACAGCAACCATAAATAATAAAAATGGGTAAATATTGTTACCCATTTGTAAATACATTCGAATTTCAACGGAGATGATCTGTTGCCCTCGAGTTGATTTCTCGTAGTGGAAGTGTTGCTTACGAAATTGAGAGGTTGAAAAGCGAATGTCCGACGCTTTATCCAGGTTAGTGAGTACGGAGAGTCCACCTAGAGGAGTTGGAAAACCTTGATTCCAAACCAATGGTGTACATGGGCTCCAGGATCCTGAGAGAACAAACGGCGTATGAAACTATTTTTGGTCACCGTCCACCATAGGATTGCATCTCCTAACGTTACTCCATTACCCTATGGATTAGACCTCTAGATCAAAGGCTTGGGGTGTGAATCCCTAAGAAAACCACCTATTTCGCTTTGGGCATCCGGACAGTATCACAGCCCTCACACAAATCAATGATAATTACTACTGGGAAATTTCTGTTGCCTCAACACTCGCCCAGATAACTTTGTTCACAACCATATGATAACGTTTATTTTTATTTCTTTAATACTACTGTGGTGTGTGCTACTTATATTGACAAAAGTAGTATATGATGTTAGTCCTGGAAAAAAGGTCTGGCAGCAGAGAGACAAGAGGATCGAACAGTAAAGAATGGAAACAGGATGCAATTTCTATGAAAATACAAGAACAATGAAGTCTGAGTCATTTTGAGACAACTGGTGGACATTTCGCAAATTAAGCATTTACTTTATGATTGTTAGATTTTACTAACCAGTCCTGTAATTTTGTTTTAAATACATCCGATTGCCCCTGCCCGTGTTCTGTTCAATACACTACGTCACTTATTTGCTCCACTTTATTCTCATTTTACGTATTATACTTTTCAAATTATACAGCAGCTCCTCTATGGCGAAAACCATATCCTATCTAAACGATCTCAAGTGACTAACTGGCCGACAGTTGAATGCTACCACTGACTACAAATACTGAAACAGTTTTTCTTAAACTACGTATACCACTTAAACTGGTTTCCTTTAACGTCCGTACACTAATGCAGATAAGACAACAGATAGGGTTGTTTATGTCTTTAGAAAGTCTCAACATTGATGTCTGTTGTCTATCCAAGAGTCTAATGAAGTACTACAAATTCGCTCTCCATCTGTCACTTCGAAAACATTGTTTTACGTGGGGCGGCCAAACCAGCATGTGGAGTCGGTTCGTGAAGTCACTAACTGTCGAACTGAGTCGTCCTGATAGGTTCAGGCTATCTAGTTGATGTCCACATGATATTCGCGATCGGTGATTGGAGACATTGAGTGGTATGGCTCAGAATCAGTCGCAACAGGATAGATGTATTCACTCCTTACCTTTCCTTAGATCTTGAGTTTCTTTAATTTATCTCATATTGGTTTATTACACTAATCCATGTATTCTGACCTACTAAGATATCATATGTCTAATTGTTTTTACTACTCCTAATATGGTTAATACTTATACTGCTCTGACATCTTGTCATTGTGTTGTACTTCGGTAACTTGGATTGATGTATATATGTGCCAGGGTGCACGTTCCATTTGTCTGACTGGCTCAACTCACATAATTACTTTAGTGGACTTTTTCTAAATAATTTTAATTCATATCGGTAAATATTTCAAGTCAACACTGACTTTCATCACAGCATGACTCCGTCGTATGTGAGTAGTGTATTGACATTTAATCCTTCAAGTACACAACAACATGGTTCTTATTTATGATCTAAATGATTATTACAAAACTATAACAGTTTTAGGTGCGAGTTTTCCCCACCTAAGCAAGCAAATTGAAAAACAACCTTACCCAGTGTTTTCATATAGAATTTGCCTTGTGAACATTGTTCACTATCTGAATGAATTTATCCTCACTACCAGTGGACATGGAAAATTATTCGTAAACTACAGGTATATTGATTAGTGTATAATTCCAAATGGTAGAAATGTGATGAGTACAACCCTTTGATTTTCCGAATGGTTTGCAAACACAAGATTATTGGTAATCTACACAGTGTATAACTAACGTGAAAATATGTAAAATTCCTTGTATAATCTACTTGGCCAATATCTAAATGACATAGTATGAAATATATCATGTATGAACATCGATATATATATATATATATATATATATATATATATATATATATATATAATTATGTATTAAGAGCAAGGAAAAGAATAATAACGCTCACCTAGATTAATTGATTCTGAGTTACTTGCTTCACACTTACGATAAGCCTCTACAAAATGTACATTTTCAACTGCTGAATCAACTAAGAGACTATCAGAAATTACAGTAGCCTCAGGTTTTTCTAAGGAAATGAAATAATTTATGAGAGCTAGCTTCATTGCGTCAGTGCACTGTAAACCATTATAGTTCACGGAATACTTTTCACATAATGTCTTCAAAATTGAGACTTTTAAATCGCTTAAATGAGCACATTTGACTTTTAAAAATGACTCTAATAAATGTAAAATTCGTGAAAAACGTCTGATTCCAAGTGCACATCCTTTAATGATCAATACATTAGATTTTTTAATAATTATGACAATATTATACGTCAGTTCAAAATGATAAATTATTGTTGGATTACTGAATAATTCCAAACAATCCATTGAAGTAATCGTACTAATTGAAACCGATTCTGGACTAATAAAACGCAGTGCGTAATCCTGTACAAGAAGGATTTATTTTCATGTAAACTCAACAACACATACTTGAGCTGCATTCAGTTTATCTGCAGTTCCGCATATTTTAAGTTTATCTTGAGATAATGCTGCAGATACTCCATAACAATTTTCAAGCCGACAAAATAATACATCCAGATTTTCGGTCGGATATGGAATGGTAACATAAACTGACATATTTCACCCTTGCTAAAATATACTACATACTACAAAAGAGTTTAAAAAAGGTAGAAAAGATTAAATCTATGGTAAGTTGCTCCTTTTCAGTAGTTTACACACAAACTGGATTCCACTACTAGCCACTAGCCATCTTTGCATATAATACTTTACATAGTTATATAATTAGGAATATGTCCGTCATTCACTAATCCACGTTACATATTATCAGTTATTCAACATAAGCATTGGAACAAGGAAAAACCAAATACATATGTGCCACATAAGTCACTTCCCTTCCACGGTGTGGGCAGCCGGGAAGTGATATCAGCCCTCATACCCGTAACAGCACAAGAGACCAAGGTGGTCACATTCAAATCTTTCCTACACCTTCTAATACCTCTCTTATCTCCCCGACTAACCCTCCCCACGTCTCTTTATCACCTCGCACCGCTAGGGCAAACGATTCGAGTACGTGGAACGCTATTCCTGGTCTCCTGAAACCACGCTCTAAACTACACGTAGGAGCTTTTAACGTACGAACACTTTGCCAAATAGGACAGCAGGCTTCATTAGCTAGGACTTTAGAATCTCGCGCCATCGATGTGTGCTGCGTCTCCGAAACGCGCATACAGGATCCAAGTAGCGTCATTCATTTGACCTCACCATGCCAAAATAAAGAACCGACTCGATTTACGCTTCGTGTATCTGGGAGCCCTGATTCTGCTTCCCGCGGCCTTGCCGGCGTAGGTATAGCATTGAGTCCTAGGGCAGAACTAGCTCTCTTAGAGTGGATCCCAGTAGACAGTCGTTTGTGCGCTGTCCGACTGAACGGAACAGTAAGAATCCGGAAAGATAGGGACACTCGTCGTTGCCTCTTCGTCGTCTCTGCCTATTCTCCCACTGACTGCAGCTCAGATGATGTAAAAGATGAGTTTTACAGAAAGCTTTCGGACCTTCTCCGAAAAGCTAAGCGCTCGGATGTAGTAATTGTGGCCGGCGACTTTAATGCTCAAGTAGGTAAACTAAGCGATAGGGAGAGACACCTGGGTGGATCTTACGGTGTCGTGGCTCAAAGAACAGATAATGGCGACCGTCTGTTGCAGCTATGCTCAGATAACCGCCTGTTCCTTGCAAATACTAACTTTAAACATAAGGAAAAACATCTTTTAACATGGAGACCCCCTAATTCGTCCCAACGTTGGACCCAAATAGATCACATCGCTATCAGCCACCGATGGAGGGGCTCGATAGAAGACTGTCGCTCATTCTGGAGCACATGCCTAGATTCAGATCATGCTCTAGTGCGAGCGCGTATTTGCTTGCGTCTAACTGGACGTAGGAAAGACACTGCAAGAAAACCTCTTAGGGGCCTACTTAATGATAGTCAAGCTAAGAGTATATTTCAGGAACAACTAGGAAAACAGTTAGGCAGCCATGTATGTGATGCCCACCCCGATGCAGCATGGAATGATATCCAAAAAGCTGTGGAAACAGCAGTGATATCTGCTAGTAAGGTAAACCAGAAGGTTAGGGAGCAACACTGGATCTCAGCAGCATCTATCTCACTGATAGATGCTCGGAAACTCATTCCACCTGGCTCTGAACATAATGAAGAGCGGAGTCAGCTTAAGCGCAAGCTGACCAGAAGCCTACGCAACGATCGCGAACAGTGGTGGGTAGCGAAAGCAAGACAGATGGAAAAGGCAGCGGCAATAGGTAATAGCAGACAATTGTTCAGACTCGTTAAGGAAACCGGAATTAGGAACCCGACCGTTAGCGAAACAATCTCAGAGAAAGATGGACATATTATTCATTCTCAATCCAGGAGATTGGATCGATGGGCAGAACACTTTAGGGATCAGTTCAACTGGCCTTCAGCCACACTTCGGTTTCCCACGATCTCTAGTCAACCTGAATGGCAAGTTAATGTAGGTCCTCCGACTTTTTACGAAGTTGAAAAAGCCATAGGAAATCTGAAACGAGGGAAAGCAGCAGGCCCTGACAGGTTTACTCCTGAGATTTTTAAGGATGGTGGTCCAGTATTAGCAATGAGATTAACCGAGGTCTTAAGTAGAATTTGGGAACTGGACGTAATCCCATCTGACTGGTCTCAATCACTGATTGTGCCAGTCTATAAGAAAGGACAAAAGTCCTCTTGTGACAATCACAGAGGAATCAGTTTGACTAATATAGTGTCTAAAATATTAGCTTCAATAATACTTCGACGCCTAATCAAAGCTCGTGAAGAGCAGACTAGAGAAAATCAGGCTGGTTTTCGACCTGGACGTGGTTGTATAGATCAGATATTCACACTACGTCAGGTTCTAGAACACAGACACACATTCAGACGCCCCACAATGGTAGTATTTCTCGACCTTAAGGCGGCATTCGACTCTGTTGATCGTGAGGTTCTATGGCAGTGTTTGTCACTGAAAGGAGTACCAAAGAAGTACATTAACCTCATAAAGGCTCTCTACTCGAACACAACTGGTAGAGTGAGAGCTTATGGCGAACTGTCATCAGAATTGATCACCTCAAGTGGTGTTCGTCAGGGCTGTCCACTCTCCCCATTCTTGTTCAACTTTGTCATTGACGTACTTTTAGAGATAACACTCTCCTCATCTAAATTTACAGGGGTTGAACTTCTACCAGGAGGTTCACTTGTTGACTTAGAATATGCAGATGACATAGTTTTATTTGGTGAAGACGCTGACAAAATGCAGAGTCTTCTGACCACTCTAAGCAACAATGCAAGCATGTTCGGGATGAGATTCTCTCCCTCGAAATGCAAAATGTTGCTTCAGGATTGGGTTACATCGACACCCGAACTAGTGATAGGGAGTGAAGTAGTTGAGTGTGTCGACCGCTTCACTTATCTTGGAAGTCTCATCAGCCCTTGTGGTTTGGTGTGTGACGAAATCCCAGCACGGATACAGAAGACTCGACTAGCTTTTGCCAACTTGCGTCATTTATGGCGTAGGCGAGATATCCGTCTATCAACCAAAGGACGTGTTTACTGCGCAGCAGTTCGTTCCGTCCTACTTTATGGCAGTGAAACATGGCCGGTAAGAGTAGAGGATATCCGTGGGTTACTAGTATTCGATCATAGGTGTCTTCGAAACATTGCTCGTATATCGTGGGACCATCGACTAAGTAACACAGTTGTTAGGAAACGGGTACTAGGTAAGGATGGAAAATCAATTGATGACGTAGTGAAACTTCATCAGTTGAGATGGCTGGGACACGTGTTACGTATGCCCAACGACCGACTGCCTCGACGTGCTATGTTCAGTGGTATAGGAGTAGGTTGGAAGAAAGCTAGGGGCGGCCAAACCAAAACATGGCACAAGTCCATGAAGTCACTGACAAGTGAACTGAGTCATGTTGGTAGGTGTAGACTACCTGGTTGGGGACCGCGAGATGACAGCAACCGATGGTTAGAGACCCTGAATGACATGGCTCAAAATCGTTTGCAATGGCGCAGGTGCATCCACTCTCTGTGTTCTCTCAAATTCTAATCTTCTGAATTCTTCATGTCCCTTTTTTCCTCTTTCCAAATTTATTTCACTGGATTATACTCTATAAATAACATCTCCAAACCCTAATCTTCCCGATTACTGCTTATACTCTTGCTACCTCTACCACTATGGGATTTGAATCGACCACTGCATCTCTGTGCTAATGTGGTGTGGCAACTCGAACTGATGTACGTACGTACGAAGTTCTACGTTGATACTGACTGACTGACATAAGTCACTTGATTTGTGTCAGGGCTGTGATACTGTCCGGATGCCCAAAGCGAAATAGGTGGTTTTCTTAGGGATTCACACCCCAAGCCTTTGATCTAGAGGTCTAATCCATAGGGTAATGGAGTAACGTTAGGAGATGCAATCCTATGGTGGACGGTGACCAAAAATAGTTTCATACGCCGTTTGTTCTCTCAGGATCCTGGAGCCCATGTACACCATTGGTTTGGAATCAAGGTTTTCCAACTCCTCTAGGTGGACTCTCCGTACTCACTAACCTGGATAAAGCGTCGGACATTCGCTTTTCAACCTCTCAATTTCGTAAGCAACACTCCTATCACGAGAAGGCAATCAGTAAGACTTCCCTGACATTGGCTGTATACGCGTGGTTGCGTGGGAGCATTTTGAGAGGAAGAGCACTCTCCGCACCCTCTGCCTTACCAGAGCATTTGGGGGTACTAATATATTCGGACCGTGTACGATCAAACCGCGGGGAAAGTTATGCACTAGTAGGGTTCATTCTACCTTATGACAGTCAAGGATGGTCTTTAATTGTGGGAAATAAAAAAGGTAATGAAGCTTCTTCCCGTAAAAAATAATACATATTTACTAATCACTAAGTCTATCGATATCTTCTCTAAACAGAGCAGGATAACCCATGAGATTTGAGCTCATCGTGACCGACTCTGGGCAAATTGCGCGAAATAAACTGTGTCTTTTTCTAATTTCGCGTTTAAGAGCGGGTGAAAAACCAGTAGGTTGTAATTCAACCCAAGGTAAAACTACACGCTTCCGAAATCCACTTTTTAAAATATTTTAGCTAATAAAATTTTCCACCTGAGTAGTTAGCAATATCGCTACCTAATACATTTCTTTGATATATAACCCCAAATATATATTTTGATGTACTGGTCGACATTTAAGTAACGGTGGTCAGAAAGAGGACCCGCATGGAACATCACAAGGGCCACTGATGACTCCAAGCTCGACTAGACAGTTGGTAGCTACATACGCCATTGAGATAAAGACCACAATTATGATCGATGAAAGCCATGTCACAGTATTTTTTTTTATAAACAGAAGGATGTAGGTAGCTAGTTCGAGTTTTTAAATAAACAATATACTTGAATATGTTTATGTTTTATTACTTTGAGGTTTTTAACTATTTTTCACACGATACCATGCATAGGTTTGGTCTAGTGGACGGATTTCAATTTCATCGGTGTCTGAGTGTCTAACGAAACCGCATCCTCTAACAGCTTGTGTATTAAA